ATTTGTATATGTAAGAAAATTTGCATACTAATGGTAAAACAAGCAAGACAGACTTGTAAATCAGTTATTGAGGGAATACACAATGTTTTGTTCTTCCTTCCAGAATTATTGTTAGCTGGAATGCTCTTGACAAAGCATTTTTAATATTGTTAACTGACTTACTTGTTTTTATTTACTTGTTCTCTGCTTGGAAGCAACCCAGAATTCTTCTCTATTTCTCTTACTTCATTAACAGATTTATACCTTGTTTCTCAAATCTCTTTTGTGTGACATCCACTTCCTCTGCTCACTGCAGAATGAAACAGCTTTGTCATCAGAAGAGCTGGTGGTGGAGTGAGTGCAAGGCTTTTTCATTTTCAGCTCTGTAACATAAACCTCAAAAAGATTCTAAAACTGTTTTCATTTTTTTAATTGAGACAGGATTTGGGGTTTTGACTCAAGGTCCACAAAAACAGACAACAGTTCCCACTTAACTACATTTAAAATGAAGTGTAGATCTATTTTTTTACATAATTTAAAATGAAGTGTAGCTCCTGCTTTATCCACTTGACAGGTTAACAATCACATTATGTGGTCATCTGCTGCAGAGACTTTTCAAGAGAATGCTAACATAAGTGTGCTCTGTGAATTACAATTCTGTTATGTAAAATTTGCTGTATAGATGTATAAATACAATGTATTATGTTCACTTATTGTAAAAACATCCGATGTAGATAGGATATGTGCTGAAAGTCCAAGACACATAGCTCAAAAGTAAATATAAGTGAAAGTTCTAAACCAACATTTAACATAAATGTTTGCCAAATTAACAAGTCTGATATCTTTACCCATAGCATAGTACTAAAACCATTTATTTTTCAAAAGAGTATAACAGTTTCTTCTTTGAATATGCTCTGATGAGGAGTTACGTAAAAACCACTAGAGAGAATTTAAATCTTCAAACTTCAGAATCAGTAAAGATTCATTTTGCAGAGGAACAATGCCGAGCAAATGTCACATGGTGAGCAAATTGTCAGAGGACTTGTCATGATTCCTGTGCCACACAACCCAGTAATTACAATGACAAATATTCTTCATACTAAGAGCTTTGCCACATTCTCAGTCTAACACAGAAAGATACCCCCAGAGCCAGACAGAGATTGATTCTGGGACTTCGTGTTTTCCATATCGAGTGGACTATACAATAGCCAGGTTATAATTTCTTTATTGCTTTATTCCTTATTTAATTTTTTGCATCGCATAAGCAGCTTGAAATCAACTATATTGAACATTATGCTGAATTTTCAACATGCATTCATGAATTTCAGGCTTTTCAGCATCAATTCAGTTAACTCCACAAGGACTGTAGGAAGCTGTAGCAAAATGTGTCTCTGATATTTCCCTTTGTGATCAGCACAGAAATTCTAAATGCAATTAGGCACGAATCAAGCTGCTCATTTGATTTGCAATCTTTATCATTCTTTTTGTGAACCCCTGTAATTCTTTGTATTTGAGTATGTACACTATATGAAAATGATACCTGACCTACAGTTTCCATTTCCTATAGAGATGGCTTTCAGGTTGTGAAAAGCCAAGCCTCTATATGTGTATGCCCTGCAATTGTATTAGGGAAATCCCCAGGCTTGTGCAGGACATGGGTGTCAAAGATGCTGGAGAGGTGTCAGTCAGTCGTTGCGTTGCCATTAGCTAAAGAATTATCTCACAAACCCATACCTTCACACACACAGCTGTAACCTCTGCATACATAGACACCCACGCAGACAAACCCCCGTAATACTTTACTCTGGGCTATTACAGTGATCAACACACACTGCATTCTTTATTCACAGCAAACATCGAGGTAATTTGTTACTCCGTGTCACCACAATAAACTGGGTTTCAGTAGAGCACAAGCACACACACGCATACGCAGAGCTTCCATTATTTATTCAAAGGACACCCTGCTTTCTTAAGACTTATTATTATAATGAAAAATGAGCCTCCTGCTGTGATGGCGATTCAGTGCCAAACTAGAAAAAAAAATCTGCCTTTGGACTTTATTGATCGCGACTGCTGTTTGGCTTTTAGATTTAAAAAGTCACTGTCATAACAGAATTAGGAGCTACATTTTCTGGCTGTTTGAAAAATTGTCTTTTTAGAGTAGTTAGGGTGAATGTGTGCATGCTTAACTTTACTTTCTGTACTCATACAATCATATTAATCAGATTGATTTTTATGCTTTTATATGTATATTATATGAATCGTCTTAACTTTTTAATAAAAGCCTATTTGGTTACAATACATTTAGTGCATGACAGCAGAGGATGCATACATTGTACATTTGCTTAGTATAACAAGGTAGACTTTGAAAAGGAATAAGAAATTCATGTGAATTTTACATAATCCTGTCCACTGTGGAAATCAGACAAATTCATAAATTTATGTGCAAGGTATTATAACTCCCTATCCAACCCTGCTGTCTTTGTTAGAGAAAAAAAGCACTTTTTGTGCCTTTATTTTAATTATAAGTAGAGAGGCAGGAGCTGGATTATTGAAGGTCAGAGCTTGTCCTGGGAATTGTCTGACCTTTCCTGCACTTTCAATTCTGATAAGACTGCGGCCGTTATAGTGAGCAAAAGGGACGCAGCTCTCAGCTTAACCTTTTCCAGAGCTGCAGCCTGGCTGATGTGCAGATCGATTGAAGCAGAACAGGGCTCCTTCAGGGCAGAGTGCTCTCACCATGTCCCTCTCACATGCAAAGACGTCCAGTCGCAGACAGAGTCACAAGTCAAGTTTCTCGCTCTGACACCCACACAGAACCGCACAGATGCTTGTTTAGAGATATGGACCTCCTATTACCTGTACATACTCAGTTCAAACTCATTACCACAGAAAGTTTTTTTTAATAGTCTTCTTTGTCTTTTTGTCAAGTTATCACAAGGTTCTATCACAAGTGTTTTCTATCTTTAATGCTCCAGATCATCAATGCACTTTGGTAGACCAGATGACGTTTATGAATGTAGACTGCTGATGATTCTCAACTGGGTTTCTTCATTGGTAATGTTTTCTGAGGACTGGACTACCTACTAAATGGTTGTCTTCTGTTTGGTAGCTAGCCAGTTTGGTAATACCTAATTGATCCAAGGATCTCACCCAACCATTCCTTAAAAGAAGTCAGGGTGTTGGCGTGATATGGCGTGTTGGCCACTGATATTGTGCTCTGTCATTGTTATTTCTGGATTATGGCTGTGCACTCACAGTACTGAACTCCGAAAGTTATTTTCTGCCTGAATCTCCCTGAAGACTTCCAAACCAGCCCCAAACCTGATCTGCCTTACATAGGTCTCCTGCTCAGCACTGGAACAGTGGCTCCTACTCCTCAACCAGTTCCCCTCACAGCAGTGCAGTCTCCCAGTCTATTTATCTGCTGTGTTCACTTGCTACCCAGTCCTGTTCTCAACTGCCGTATCCCTTCAACATCTCTGCCGGCTTTCGAGCTCCACCAATTTGGCTTTCTCCGCAAGCCTCCGGAAATCACTGAGCTCTTGCATTTGGATTTTTGTAGTCTGTTAGCAAACCGCAGCTTTCAGTTTCTGCTTCCTCTAGTGTTCTCTGGTTCTCTGGTTTACAAAGTGCCAGTGCAATAGGAAAGCAAGAAAACTGGAAAGGAATTTAATAAGGACAAAGTAGTGTTCCTGACAGTCAATGACAACCATTTAGTCTTTTCCTTGTGTATTTGCTGGCCCTGGACGTGTTTGAATTTGAGCCTGGTGTCTAATCTTTAGGATATGAGATGATATTCTTCTGGAAGCTGCTGTCTCAATCATACACATCTTGGTTGCCTGTTTCCAGGTCTTGGAGTGAAGGAAATTTGTTTGCCTTTTCTATGTTAGGTGGGGTTGTCAAGATAAGCTTCTGCATTTTATTATCTTTGATCTCCTGGGACCATTAATTTCTGTGTGGCTGCTCTGATAATGTGGTCTGCATTTCTCCAATAATGTATGATTTGCCAGTTCCTCCATCTCATAGTGTGCTCTCTGTTCCCAAAGATCCTTCATGCTCACATTCATTTTTTAAAGGAGGAACTAGAATAGTTTTTAGTTTTTTAAAGATGTGGCTCCATATTTTGCCAAGCAGCACATCACAGTCTTAGGAACCATTTTGATGATTGATTTTTTTTCTTCATTTTTTAATATATGGAGAATTTGTCTTGTTTGAGCCCACACTGATACAAAGAAGTCAACCCCCTTTTTCTGGAGATGATAAACAATGCAGCTCCCTACAACCGACACCATCCGCTCTGTGTTTCAGATTAGTAACTAAAAGCAAGCTGTCTTCTTTGTACACAAAGGGCTCTACAGATTGAAACCTGAAAGAGTACAGTTTCGATTTTATACTCTTTAAGAATAAAGTAAATACTAAAGCAACTGCAGTGCTATATAGTAAATATTTACTTTCCCCATATTTTCCGATCATCTGTCCTGTAACTCCTCCCTCTTACTATGAATAACATACTAGTATTAGAAATTAATAACTAACCGTGACTTCCATTTAATAAACACAACAGTCACGCCACCAAAAATACTGTGTGTACCTTCAGACTTTACTGGCAAGAATCAATTCTAACAAAAATCTAGAGAGATGGATTGATAGGCAATTAATCAGGTATATTACTAGACTCTTTCAGCTCCACTGTGTCAGGGTCAGCTTTTGACACTAGGAGGGGCTGTTATGCACAAGTATAAAATAAACTGAGGCCAAATAGTCTTTGAAATTAACATTATGAGCTGAAAGAGTTTGAGTAGTTTTTAAAATGAAAACCAACACAGTCATGTAAAGGACAGGGAAGACAGGTGTCACTGTTGCAACACCAGCTACAGTGCACTTAATGCTCCAAAACAATAATTCAGATAGTACACTGTGATTGATCATAATACAAATCTTGGAGGAGGACGAGACCCCTATCAGCCAATCCCCTGGTCAAACCTGCATGTAATTAAGAGTCCTTCAGAATTTCCTACCAGCATTCTCTTCTGTGCAACCCTCCACCAATCCGTTCTTGCTCCAAGCACTTGGGTCAACTCATCCAAGGGGTGATGTTCCATAATGTTCTCATGGACAGGATGTTACCCCTCTGGCTTGTTAAAAGCTGGTTAAAAAGCCAGTGTAAAATTCACGCATAGGGTTTGTCTACATGTTCTGAAAAAAAAAGGCATGGGATATGTTTTATTAGTGGCTCCATTTGCAGTAGACTTAATCAAAATACTAAAAACCCAGAATCCTGATCAGGAAATAGACATTAAAAGACATTAAAGCCTCTTTCTTTGTCAGCAACACCTTCCTCTCAGACAGTCAACAATGAACAGACAGCCACTCAGTCATGTATAGGAGATATCTGAGTTGTCCAAGACTGCTTTTGCATACTACAGCAGGGGAGTCCAATAGTTTACTACATTTTTTGTTAAATAAATGATCAACAGGATTGTAAAAGCAAACTAATGTTAATAAAGAAACAGTGATCAAAAAGGAACAAAAACTCTAACCTCCAAACTTTTTACTCAGTTACATGTAATTTGGAAAATTGGGTTTGAGAATGTTGGGTTGGGCAAATGCAAAACTGCTGTAACAAAGATGGGGAGTTTTTAGACTATATCTGAGAGGTGCTACTGTATACCAGAACAATGATATACTGTATATGCAGGAACCTGTGCCTAACATAGTGTATGGACAATGGTTCATTAGAGTTCATCAGAGAATGTTTCACAATTTTGGATTTATGCGTTCATCACTGAAAAACATATCTTGCTTGTTCCTGTCACAACACAACTAATATTACATTACAGCACTAGGAAAAAAACTTATCAGAGGTATTGGAGATGATGATATGTTATTACTGTGAAGTCAATTACTTTATGCTCAGGGGTAAAAATCGGGACTTTAATAGAATAACCATTATAAACAGTTGATTTATGAATACTTAAAATAAATGGTTCTTTGTGTACTATTCTACTTCATCACTGGATCTCCTACAAGCACTTCCCAGATCTAAACCAGACGAAATTTGAATAGGGACATCAGTCATTCATAGAATGACGCTGCAGTAGACATGTTTTCTCTTTAGGCTTCCATGGAATCGAGAGGCCCCTTTTTAAACAACAAAAAGAAAACCCATCCACTGAGTAAAGTGCTGGCAACAAGGAAACAGTGAAATATATGAGGAGCAGCGCAGCTGGTGTAAACAAAGCTTTTGAGACCCTCAGTGGAGCTCAGGGAGGTGATACCAGCCTGGGGACAGATGTCCAAGCCAAATTAGCAGGTTAATGGAGGCAGTCAAGGACACAGCTGTTAGCAAGCACGGCTGAAGGTGTCAGTCAATTACTGACGTTGAGATAGCTTATAGTGACACCTCGCTGGGGAGGTGTGCCCAGGGGCGCAGCTGGCATTATGTGTGACTTCTGGCTCTCCGCTTTAACCCCCTGGTAACCTCCTTCGTTACCCCAGGCCACAAAACTGCAGACACGCCATGCTCTCCTGCCCAGCTGGGACTCTCACGAGAGGACAGGGCCTCTGAGGTCAAGCTAATGTGATGAGACACAAAATTCAAGTCTAGGCAAACAAGCTGCCAGTTCCAATGCCAGTCCATTGCTACAGGCCTTGTCTTACATTTGAGTATCTGCAGCCCAGAAGATTTGTATATGCTCAGCTCGGCAGATCTATACCTATCAACACTGGGCTCTGCAGGGGGGAGTGAGGCCCACCCAATTACTGCAAACCACTTCCCAAGATGAAGGCCATTGCAAGCGACTCGGCAGGAGCTAGAGCTTGAGCCAATAGCCTACAGACGATTTCCCACTTCCTACTGTGCCCTTTGTTTATTAATGACAGACATCATAGTCTTTTTTGTTTCATTTGATCAAGCACCGAAACCTGCATTGACCAGGCACCCGTTTCATATCACATAAATAGCATCTTGATCATCATTGTCATGACATCAACATCATTGTATGTGATCACCTTTGAAAGATGAAACTCAGTGTACACTCCAAAAAAGTCCATTGCAAGCAAAAATATCTCAGAGCATTGGTCAATTTCATGGTATCCATTGCATTCTACAGACTGAACATAATGTACAGATGAGGGTTTACCTCATAATGCTGCAGCACAAAAAGGGTCTATATGGCAGCCCATATACTGTACTTGACTTCCCAAACCTGCTCCAGATATAGCTGTTTGTGCAGTATGATAGTATTAACATCTTGGAGCTGTATTATACAATGCAAAAAAAAAGTTTTATTTGTTCAGACTTGGGAGTGCCATTGAGGTTGGAGAGAGGCAGGTTTTGATACCATACTGTATGCCAATTTGTATGAAAGCTGTATTACATGTATTGTAAAGTTATTATTCGTGGTTGTTATGCAGTGATGTGATGAAGGGCATTTTAACGTGCTAGGAATACATCAGTAAGTATTGTACACACACACCTCTGGGCCCAAGTTTGATAGCTTGAAGAACTCTCCACCTGTCTTTTACACTTCAACTAAGAGGCAGGGTGCTCTAGAGATCAGTGGTTTAGTGCACCAGCAGTGTTGAAGTATCATATGAACTACTCCACAGCAGATACCTGGCTTTCTGAATCATCCATAAAGTTTTCCTACTTGACCTCAGAAACAAAAGTTGTTGCAGAATTTATAATCAGAATTACATTTTCTACTTAACAGAGTTAATTAATTTGAATATGTTTAATTAGCACCATATAAATAAACGATATTGCTGTTTTCACCACAAATAATAGATTTTCCCATTCTTTAGAAAGTGTGCAAGCCTGTAAATACAGAGAATGAAAATAATGAAATATAGTTAAAGTATTTTAGTAGATATTTAAAATACTCTTTAGGTGAGTTGCAATATTATTTATGTAGATTAATGCAAGATAAATCAAAAAGGTCATTTTTGAAAATATACATGAATTATTCTATTGCCGAGTCAGACATTAAATTTCCCATTACTTTCTGAGCATGTACCATACGAAAAAAAGTCCTGTTTTTTTCTTTCCAATTGCTCTTTAAATAATCATACATTGCTTCATATTTGAACCCAAAATGTCCAACATGCCAGTAAAATGACAACAGTGTGCAGAATGTGATTGATGAAAATGATCATTATCTCAAATGAGATGTAATAATTAAAAAAAACTTGGCAGTGAAAATGCAGGAATTATAAGTCTTGTTGAGGATGACATTTTAAGTTCAAAGCAAAAGTTGGTTTAAAAAGAAAAACTGAAATACAGCAAGTGAAGCAAGTAAATATAATCTGTTTCTCAGCTTCTTTGTGTTTCTCTCAGGAAAAAAAACTAAAGTAAAAAAGAAACAAATGGAGCCATCTCCCAACCCGAACGATGCTTTTCCACTCCATTTATCAAACGCAAAGAAGAATTCATTTTGATTGGCTGATTACTCAGAACATTCATCACAGCAAACGTATCCCCTCCGATCTGACAATGCCATTTTGGATAATTTGTTAAGGATGACAAAAGGCCCATATTGCCATAGTTCATTTTTGACCTTTTTAATATAAGAAAATTAATTTTCTGTCTGAAACAAATGTATTAGGTGCTGTCAGACAGCCTAGATGAATATTGCACCTTGAAAACCCCCTTTATTACAAAGCAGCATTGTAGTATTTGGTTGGCAAATTTAGGTTGGCGTTTGAAAATGCAGCGTACGCCTGTCTGCTGAAGCGTCCCCTTGTGTCATGAGTCCATTCCAAGTAAATTTTTGATATTTGCGGCCAATTTCTCCCCATTATTGCTCCCTCTCTGTCTAAAGGCTTCACCCACATTGCACGCCTGAGCATATCCCCTTTCAGTAGAAGGAAACACTAAGCACATCTGACAGGGGAACTTTTGATTACAGTATTTTTTTTCTTTAGTTCAAACAGGCACTCCAAAATTAAGTAAAAGTGCCAATGCAGGAATATTTAAGCATTGGCAATGAGGGAGACTGAGTCACAGATTGCTGGCTGTTTTATTATTTTTTAATCTTGGCCCAAATAAGCTCTAGACAGATGCATCTGCTTATTAGACACTAACAGGCTGATGACATGGGCCATTCTGGCTGCCCATTGCTGTTGATTAAAAAATACATTATGCGAAAAAGTACCAAATTAGCCCTTCAATACTGAAAGGCCAACTTGTTTCTGTTTAGAAAGGGAAACTTTTTTTCAAAAATTGTACTAGTAACGTTTCTTTGGCTCAGCTAGCCAAGGCTGCATTGTTAAATGGGGAGAAAAGACACAAAACAGGCCTTTATTGTTTTGGGTCATTTTGAAGAAAGTGCCTGAAAGATTTACAGTAACTGTCATTTAGGGATTTACAGTATGTGTCACTTTCCTTTTTAGGAAAATAAACAAGTGTATATGTGTTATGATGGTCGGTTCCATTAGGAATACTTGTCAGTTCTTTTATTTTACTCTGTTTACTCTGGCTGTCATGTGGTGGTTTTTTCTGTCATCTGTCAAGCACAAACCATAATGTACATTACAGAACAGGAAGTGCGCTTGTGATGACAAACTCCTACAATGATATAAGATCTTAGAGCTAGTAATGTCATTCGTATCTTACTCTCACCCCTGAACCAGCGGATCATAGCATCAATAGTGTACTCACAAATGGAGAAATGACTGCCTTAAAAAAGTATAGAAGCAAAGAAGCAAAAACAAACACAAAACTAGCATAAACAAGTGTTTCATACAAAGCACTTGCTGGTAAATCTATCAAAAAATATGTTTTCACTTAGTGTAGCTAAGATCGCCCTTCCTTTCAGTAGCTTTAGTCCTACATAATTACCAATGGCCTTCATTTGGGATTTGAATATTAGCAGAACATTTACTAAATCCTAGAAGGTTATCACTAATCAGTATAGAACAGACTGGTTCCAGACATGAAAACTTCTTTGACCATCAACTCCCAGATATACTCTTTAAACATAATGGCTTACACATACAGTACAGTAAAGGAACAAGTAATAGGCTTATTCCATGCTGAAAAGAGAAAAGAGAAAACACAACATTTCAGCTGTGAATTGTTTGCTGTTTTTCCTTATTCGTTCATTCAGTACCTACCCAAATTGGAATTGCTTCTTAATATTAATAAGTTATTACATCACAATATGTTCTGTAGTGCATGGGCAGAATGAGAAGGGTGGACAATATTTGTGTCCCACCCATGCATCTTTTCAGATGCTGCAAACTCCACTGTGTATTACTGAAGGGGCAGCATATATCTCAGTGACATCATCCAACTGGTCATCCAAAGCTTCACTAATCAGCCAGGAGTCAAATGATGTCTGGACAACTAATTTTGATGCTGTTGTCAAGTTGAGCTGTGTACTGCCATTTGGGGAATCCCAGTCAATAATTATTTCAAAATCATGTACACTCCCAATCGAGATTTAAAATATTGATACTGTATACTTGTGCTTTATCATGTTTACAAATAACATTAACAGTACTAGGATGAGAAAGAGGATGGGTGGCAGTATTTGTAGCAGTGATAGAACTAATTGGTAATAGTAATAGAAGTAACAGAAGGAATCTCAAAGATTGCGTTTCCTGGTGTCCATTTTTATATATGGATGTATTGTAATGTGTGTGTATTTGTGAAAACAGGAAAGAGAAGGGGTGGTGAAGTGAAGGAAGAGTGAATGGTCTGTTTAGAACTGCTATGGGTTATCTGAGAAATAGTCATTCTAAGGTGTATGTTATGTAGAGTCCCCGATTTAGGCCTAGCTTACTTTCCTGCAGTAATAAGATGGTGATATGGGTCTATAATGGGAGACTTTAACTTCTGCAAAAAAGAGGAATTTCACACAGGTTTTTAAAAGTGTCAATAGCATGCTTTTAAAGTATTTTTGGACATGTTTAACACTTTTCAAAGGTCTTCAGCTATAGCTGAGTTAGAGAGACCCACAGTAGGAGACTAGGACTGGAGATATATACTGTTTAGCTTTACTTATGATGGAGCTAAAATAGAACAATACTTATAAATTAATGACATTTATATAGATTAAAAAATGAGGTCTAATGTACAGTAACGTGCTTTCTAGAATTGTTTGAATAAATAACAAGGACGGTATATAGCATTAAAGTAGATGGTATGATTAAATTTGAATTTAACAGAAAGGTTTTCATAATGATCCTAATAAAAAGCTATTTCTTAGATTAAAAGCTATATCCACTTCAGAGATAGGTGTATTAGACTAAACTCCTGTAAAACACCTTAATTGCACACAGGTGGACTACATTAAACTAACTATGGCACTTTTGGTTGCACCAAAGCCTATTTAGGCATGTCATAGCAAAGTGGGTGAATAGTTATGCAATTAGTTATTTTCTGTTTTATATTCCAATTAATTTAGGATCTGTAGAATTTTCACCTAGTGTTTCTGTTGAGCAATGACAGAAAATCAGAAATACAGTACATTACGATTGCATATTGAAACACAACAAAGTGTGAAAAAGTCCAAGGGGGGTAAATACTTTTGTCAGCCACTGTTTGTCTTTGTACTATGAGAGGGAAAACCCACATGAACACTGGAGAACATACATACTATACCCAGACAACATCCCATGTCAGGAATTGAAAGCAGGGCCCCAGCAGTATACGACAACAATGCTACCCACTGCACTACAAGGCCACCACTAAACTGGCAACTGAATCATAATCCCTAATTAGGTAAATAATAATAATTCCTTCAATTTATATACAATAGCACTTTTCAGGACACTCCACTCAAAGACTTTACAGGTAATGGGGACTCCCCTCCACCAACAGCTCAGCAGTTGTGAGCCTGGTCAGGACCTGGATGGGAAAGCTAAGGTTGTTGCTGGAAGAAGTGTTAGTGAGTCCAGGAGGGGGTGCTCACCCTGCAGTCCATGTGGGTCCTAATGCCCCAGTATAGTGATGGGAATACTATAGTGTAAAAAGGTGTTGACATTTGGATGAGAGGTAAAACCGAGGTCCTGACTCTCTGTGGTCATTAAAAATCCCAGGGCATTTCTCAAAAAGAGTTGGGGTGTTACGGTGTCCTGGCCAATTTTCTCATTGGACCTTACCAATCATGGCCTCCTAATAACCCCCATCTATGAATTGGCTTCATCACTCTGTTCTCCTCCCCACTGATAGCTGGAGTGTGGTGAGTACTGATGCACTATGGCTGCCGTCGCATCATCCAGGTGGGGCTGCACATTGGTGGTGGTGGAAGAGAGTCCACATTACCTGTAAAGCGCTTTGAGTGGAGTGTCACGAAAAGCACTATATAAGTGTAAGCAATTATTATTATTAGTGAAAGATGGATCTGCTTGTGGTCTACCTACAGTACCCAGTGCTCTGGAATGCCCTTTAAAGGGAGGTGCAAACACCATGCCTTCCTTCCCCCCTTTTTAGCGGGGTGCGTGGCGGCGATTAGAAAGCTCTTTACCTCTATTAGACCCTGGGATCTCCTTCAAGTGGCTGATGGAGCTGCCTTAATGGCGGGTGCTGTGCTTCCTCTCGGGCTCCATCCATCAGGCTGACACCGGCTGCCGATGGCCCGCTCCCAGCCACTATATTTCACAAGCAGGCATCAGAGAGCTGACAGCGCTGCGCTTGCCAGGAAATTGCTTTGGCTGTGAGCAGAATTTCAAACACTGCGTTCCCGAGCTTTTCTACCTGCTTTATGACCCCCGGGAGCCCGAAGTACCGAGCAGAATGGATAATGAGGCAAGGCAGAGAGGGAGGCAGGGCTTGGCTGGAGTGAGGGGTCAGAGCTCAGAGCCTCACACTGACCAGCAGCTGCTAGTTTGTGAGGGTAGAGGATTGCATTGCGCAGAGAGCTCTGCTGCTTTCATAGCTACACTGCAGTGCCCGATAAAAGCTCCTGATCAATGCGGGGGTGCTCTTCTCATCTCTAGTTTTGACAGTGGTGCTTTCTTTGTGTTGTTATTTTCAAAATCCCTGCTCTTTTCTTTCACCTTGACTTTTTTTGGTTCCCCTGCATTTAACATAGATGCACTAGATGCACATTTGTCTCTGTATCATTGCCTGCCTTTCGTCTGAATTTCCAAAATCATACAAAGGCACAGAAAGGCATTAACTTGAAAGTGCAGGTGTTTATTTCATAGAACCCACACAACAAGGGTCAGAGGTACTGCTGTTTTATCAGTTGCAAACATGTTGCAAATGAGTTGGTAGTGCCAGGTTTTGAGAAATATTTTGAAGCGGTAATACATCTTTGTGTCTGGTTCTTGATATACTGTATTGAACTTTGGACATTCCAGTTAGAAGTCACAAAAATGGGGTGTTGTGTCTGCAGATAAGTCTTCTCAAATACTGTATTAAAATTAGATGCTTAAAGACTGCCAGGAATTTGGACACTAATAACTGCACCATTTTTTAAAGAATTACTGAAAGTATGTCTTAAAAGCAATCAGCAAGTCTTTAAAAGGGTAGGGCAAATGCTGGCCTACAGTATAAGCATGTTCACTATAATTGCAGTAGAAGGGAGACATTGTCTTCTGCTACAGCTAGTGAATCTAAGGTGACAAAAGAAAGGGTATTTCAGAACTGAACTATTCATTTCTAATTATGTGAAGAGCGAATTAGGAACAGGTACTGTATGATCTAAATAATGACCTGGGGCCTCATTATCCATCCTGCATGTTTGTGTCTCTTTCTCTTTTCTGGAGTCAGTGGTAGTATTTGCTGGCATCTCCGTGCCCACATTTTCTCACCTGTTAGTAGTTGTGCTTATTGCTTTATTAAGACAAGCACACAAATTACTATTTTCCTTTAAAATCAGTTCTGATCTACAAGGCTTTAAAAGAAAGTTCTGTGGCATTTTTAGTTTCTCAAATGTGGTAGAATCAATAGATTATACATGCATGCTGCTAAAACCTACAGCTCATTCCACTGTAAGTATTTTTATAACAACAGGAAACACACCTATATTATGAACGTGTAGGTGGTATCTGATTTTAACCTATTACTTCCAAGTGCCGTAGTTGAGTATCCCAGGCTGACTTCTTTATTGTTATAAGCTTATTGTACCCAACTGAGGGAAGAGCAAAGTGACAATTCCAGATTGTCATGAGAGAAGATAGATTTTTGCTTTTCTTACTTTTGACTTCAATTTGACTTCAATTGTTGTGATACTGGTGAATGGATTTTCTTTTAGTACACAAACGATTTGTTTTGCTTGTTGTCACTAGACAATTGAAAATTGTATGTTCATACTGTGACTAGCCTTCCTGACTCTAAATGGTTAAAACCTCATTCTGACGTCAGAGGAATTCCATATCAGAGGTTTTTCTGTTTAGCCATGACACCAGGGTTAGTACCCCTGCTCTTGAAAAAAGTGTTGTATGATGTTTATTGCCCACAGTGTGAATTCAGTTTAATATCTCATCCAAAACACAGAACCATTATTCAATTGTTACCTGTCCAGAAGCAAATCATCACATGACTTAAATTTTTGCTAATTAGCAGTGACTTTCTTACCTGCCCATGAAAAACGTAATATGTACATTTATGATTGTAATTGATTTAATTAACCCCATATTCTTCCTGTATGAACTGTAAGAACTTGTAAATGTTTAGGAATGCTACTGTAAATAGGTTTTTCCTGTTTTCCAAGATTCTAATATTATTGGGAAAAGATCTGTTTGTAGTGACATTTTGCAGTTTTCACACATTCTTTTCTCATTCATTGATCTTGTTTTTCCATGTCTTTTATTTTTATATTGTTTTCACTGTGCATTATTATACTTCACCTGTACCATAGCGTACAGAGGTAAATTTATAGAATGCCTGGAAATGCACACCAATAATAACTTAGGTTACCCTGAGTCCCAGGATGTGTAAGAGCTTTAAATAAAACATTAAGCAGCAAACATACTGTAGCAAAACAAATGATGAGGCTATCAGGCAATTAATTGTGCAATGGTTCAGAGCTACTAGTACAGACTCCTCCAGGTTCAGGGAACCCCTGAGTGACTCAGTCCTGAAAAGAACCCCGACCCTATGACAAGGTTGAGTATTGTAGTTCTTGCCAAGCAGCTGTGATCCTATAGTGAGAAGTCCTTCACCTCTTCATTAGGTTTGAGGAGTGCCCTAAGTACCTAACACACTGTTTTCCACAACACTCATGCCCTTCTTGTGAAGATTAGCAACTATCTCAGTAAGCAAACTGGCCCATGTCAGGGTCAAAGCAGAATCAGGTCTTTTAATATCTCATCAGTACATAGTTTGGCATTGACAGAGCTTGTGTGGACAGAAGCAGCAACGGTTACTGGCAATACTTTTAAAGGTTTTATTGTTAAGGAGACACTGTCGGATTTATTTTAAAATTAAAGCCGCTGTAAGTCTGAAGAAAGCTGTATAGCTACTCTTGACAGTTGTTTCTTGTGTTTTATACATTTCAGAACACTCCCAGGGCTGTGATAGAGGAAAGCCACAGGCTCTTGTGGATGCCTGGCACTGCTTTATGCAGCTCTTGTTATTAATAAACCTGAGCGTGCTGCGTGGGTTGGAAGCTAACACAATTGCGTGGCATCAGGAATATGATGAGACACTGTACATGTCCAGGTGATTTCCAAAACAGATTTCACCAGCAGATGATTTAAAAACTGTTGGTTGCAATCACCAAGTCACCCCTGGCACACTTTTTAAGAAACAGGCCTGCTGTTTTCTTCCCTGCTCCGAGATACATAATAAAATCAACATGGCCTATCAATATGTTCGGACTTGACCTTGGGTAATTTTAATGTGTAATGTCTGCCTACCCAGCTGATGAAAGAAGGTGCCACATGATCAAAGTTTTTTCTACACAACTATCTTTTTTAACACATTAGAAATTTGCTTCAAGGCTGTAGAAAACAGAGAAAAGATGTCAGTCAGAGCGAAAAGACTTAGAAACCTTAGAAACATATTTGGAGTTGACACTAGTGGGAATATCTGTGCATAAAGAAGTTCCATACTCTCCTACATGGTGATAGTTTTCTAATCAACACCATTGCGGATGTGTAGAATGAAACCTTTGCAGGGTTAACTAGAACTCAGCTAGGATTAAGCTCCGATGAGCAAATACCCCTGACAAACCTAAGTTACTCCTTGATTGTCTATTTTCGGGGTTAGGCCTTTTTGATCTGAGTACATGTAAAAGCTGTTATGCTTGTCTCTTTTGTTATTCCTGTTTAAAATAAAGGCTAGTTTCTTATTTGATTCCTTCACTCCGCATCATGTTCACTTTGTGCTTAGACAATCTCTTCCACGGACAAAATACCAAACGAAATTGCAATTCCAAAATGGCATTACAAAATGTGACACCAAGAGAAAAGAAATTACTAAAAGGGAGACACATCAGTGAATGTATTGCAGTATTACCTTATAAAGCCTGTACTGTAGGTTTCCATTCTTAAAACCCACTACCCATTGGAGCTGTACAAAATAATTATTCTTTTTTAGATCAGATTTACTAGGGGTAGTTTAACTTGCTTGATCTGATGGAATTCATAAATTGACTTTCCAGTGTGTTACTAGGAGATTGCTCCTGTTATGTAAGTAGTGGTTGCTCTTTTAATTCAATCCAGTTTTGTGGGCTCCTACAGTAAGTGGATCAGCCAGTAATGAGACATGACAGATAAAATGCTTTACCCAGGCCATCACTGGTATAACTCTGAGTAGTTTCTTTGGGCAGTGGTGGTTGCTGTGATAAGGTTGTGCACAACTAACTAGGAAATCCCTATATTAATGAGTAGTAAGCCCTTTACCTTTAAAATTTGGGAGCCTATGAGCTAGCAGTGTTATAGATGACAGCTATATTGATCCTCAATCCGGCAATGAACTCTGCTGCTAGCTCTATGGGCTTTGAACATTGAAAGAAGCAAATGGCCTGAAAGGGTACATTGCAGAGCACAGGACCCATGCGGGTTGTCTTGTTCCCTCCTGTGCATGAAGGTTAGAAAAATCATCAAATTATACTGTATGAAGGTTGTTATATGGGACACTGCTGATTAACAATAATTGGTAGTTTGGAGCCAATGAAATTAACAAAAAAGTAATATATTCCAGAACTAAAAATAAGGAGTTTTACACGTGGTAAATGAAGCATTACAAACCACATAGTGGCACATACAAAAATCCGTCTGTTTCCTCTCCTATTATATCCAAATATTGCCGTTTCTTTCATTTAACAAAGGACTGAATAATCAAGGCAGATTACTGGAGTTGTTCTGCAGTTTTAAGTGTTAATCATCTAAGGCAGTGTCAATGTGACCCTCTTCTCAGAAAGCACAAGCAGAATCAGAAGGAGCAATCAGACGATCATTTCACTGAGCTCTTCTGTCACCCTCTCCCTCTCTCTGGCAATGAATAGTGCGAATGTGTCAGAAAACAGGGGCAGCAGGTGAGATGACTGAGAAAAGACTGATTCACAGTGATCCCTGAAGTGATTTATTTATCAGGCCCCTATGAAGCCCAAACAAAAATGAGTGTGCTGTGAGCATTTTCATGATTACTCTTCCTTCTTTTTTCCTTTTTTGAAAAACTTTAAAGTCATGTCTCTAAAAATGTGAAAAGGTAGGCAAATGCTTTTCAGAGGGTCAGTTTTAAAGCTTTAATATGTGTACGGTTAAGTCCTGGC